TTAGTATGTATTTTTCAACAATGGAACAACTTATTCAATTAAGTTTGAAACATGTAATTCAATGACCATAAAAATTATTAGAAATATTACTAATGACTAGACTTCGATTTTTGATTTCAGGATGTCCACTACAAAGAATCCTAGTAAGACAAAAAAATCAGATTTGTTTCTTACTCCATAATTAATGTCAGTAGGATGTAAAAAACCTTCGATTACGAGGTATCATCAAAACTGTTCCCGACGTTGCATCAATCAACGATTCAATTCGACTAGTTTCGTTTTAAATATATAAAATAACAGGTGATGTTCCCTAAAATAGCAGAATCTATACGTCCAATGCGAAGATTTAAAAATAGAAATTCATTAAAAGTTTTTTTGTAGTGACGTCAATGCTTCCCTCCTTCAGTGAACGCTAAATTTTGTTAGTCTTTTCATGGTATTTTCTCATTGTCAGAAGCCTTGAGCTGCACCATAAATTTAAAAAATGTGCATTACTACTTCCACTGGTATAGAAAAACTTTCATCACTTGTATAGCTCGAACAAAATAAACTTTTATTGGCACAAAAAGGCTATTGTACAGTTCGAGATAAAAAATCCAAGTTTAGTCATTAGTAATATTTCTAATAATTTTTATGGTCATTGAATTACATGTTTCAAATTTAATTGAATAAGTTGTTTCATTGTTGAAAAATAGGTACTAATCTGGATTGGCTTATGTCATTGCAACGAATCGTCCATGTGACGAATTGTCCTGCAATGAATTGTCCTAGTACCTTGATGCCTGATGGAAATACTATCGAATGGGCATTGGCTTGCCTCGTCAATTGTCATAGTCAGTTCTATATAGTGAGAACGCTTTCAATTGAAGAACAAGCACAAATAATTGCTCGATCTTATGGAATAAATGGATCCAATTTTCAATATTTACACAACACCCTATATGCCTGTCGAAAATTCTCTTTACTCGATACATTTACAAAAGAAATGAAACAATTATATGGTACTGCTCTACTTTATCGACATAGATTAGTCGAGCAGGAGCGTCAATGGCTCGACACATTAGATAAATTGTCAACAAAAGATGAGCGACAACTAGCTATCAAATCACGAAAGACAAAGCGTATTGGAATAAAATCGCGAAAATTACTTAATCGGATGTGTTCTGTAGCACCTACAACTATACCAACATATCATCGAATGTTATCTGCTTAATCACAACACAAGTGCCTTGTTTCGTCATTACCTTTCTGCTACAAATCATCTCTGATGTGTTAGACTCAGTCTGATGTGCAACATATCGTTACTACATTATCTATTCATCTTTTATTTTCATGGTTTCTTTTTTAAATAGTAATATTCTTGTAAATGTAATTCTAAAAACTATCTCATAATAACTGACAATATATTGTCAATCACATTTTTCACACTTTTTCTTTTCATAGAACGCTAAAATCTTTATCACATTAACTCAATGTATAGGATCATGTTCTCCATTGTTTTCTAGGATGAACTGTAATCAATATGGTATTTCACCGATCATTTTTTTTTTGACACTCTTTTTTCGAAAATTTCTTCGATTGTTTTGCAATTTCTTTTGCTATTTGTAGCAATATGTCAAAAATTATCCATGATCGTCTTCATTTACTGCCAGCTACACATTTTCAATTCTCTCCACACATGATCAAATTAAGTACTATTTCCTACTGATTGTCTATGTGTACAAAAGAATCGTGCTACGAATCATGCAATCAATACTTCGCATTGTCTTTTGACGTTCTAAATTCAAAACAAAACTTTACAAGTCTTTTCTGTTTTCGTAATTGATAGACACTTAACATCAAATCTCCGATAAAATCTGAATAGCCATTGTATTGTGATTCTGACATTGTCAGTTATAATTATAGGGCATCTTTCATGTATTCATATCTACGTGAATTGGCATTTATTTTGATCTGAAAAATACAATAAACTAACTATTTTGATAGCAAAGTAATCTGAAAAAAATTGACCCATTGTGGAGAAATATCATAGTTGGGAAGCGTTGGTTACCAAATTGCGATGCATTATCTGGATGATCAAGGCTTTTTCTTCATGAGCAATATTCTGATATAGTCTAGAATATTCCTAGTGAATTCTTGTTATCTTGACAAAAGATATTGCCCGTGTAATGTGGGTATCTTCCAATATCGATTATCTAGATATACAAAATCATGTCTTCTGAGTCTCACTCATTGTACTCACATGCTATCGTTTCAAAGAAGAGCCCCAACACGTTCTCCTTCCAATTGGGAACTTAGACACTGCATCGTGTTTTGCCTTCAAGACATAAAACGATTAACCACTACACGGAATGGAATAGAATTCTTGCGTTTCGAGCACAATAAATAGCTTAAGAGGCTCTTGAAAACTTAATTCTAGAAATGACGATAATGTCACTATGTAGTGTCCTCATAGCCATAAATAAATCAGACCAAACTGTCTATCTGTGGATCATGAAGACCATTGTTGAAATCTTTTTGCAGTTAACGCCTTACATCACTATGAACGTAGACAGTTTTGGTTTTCGACATATTCAAAGTCAATTTTGAGGCATAATGATGTAATTGGTCAAAATCAACAGATATCTTTTTTTTCGCCTACTGTTTTATTCTCTAGTCTACAGATTTTTTCTGAGGAACCTATTTGTATAATGTACACTGAACTAACTCAAATTAATGCCAAAAAAGTGCTAAGTATATTTAAAACGTAACTATCTGTAAGCTTTGCTAGTTTTGTGTACGTTAGTGCGATTTTATTCAATAGGAATAACTTTGTAAAAGGTGAAAGAAGAAATTAATGAGAACAAATAAGTACGATAACTCTGAGAAGAGAAATTGCTTGCGTATATATATGTATATGGTGTGATAGCAATAGAAAAAGTCACTGACATATATAGCATGAAAGGACAAACTCATATTGCATTAGATACACACGTAAAAGAGAACATAAAGCAATCAACAACTGATATATTATAGTTAGTAACGAAAAAGTCATGATGCGATTCAGTCACACATACTGAGCAAGTCCTCAATACTGCACATCTGTTACCAATTCAAAGGAAGTGTCGAGAAAAGATATAACATTTGTTTGTTTTTTTTACACACATGCGTTCAGATTCTGTCTGATTCAATGAAAACTTTGTTGAATTGATAACGGAATATCCATTCATTTGTTTTAAGCACCAGGTTTATGGATGATCTGGATTACATCATTGACAAAATTACATTCTTCATTTGTTGGTCTTTGTGGTAGACATTTAATAAAGGACATATTGAGAATATCAGCATAAGAACAAGGTCGTTCTTCAACTTCTTCTTTCAATCTAGGAAAAGTTCAATACTATTGTAATTTGAATGACAATTTTATCTAGAACTCCTTACAAGTGTAGAATAAGTTTTTGCATATCGACGGATATAGTTGCCTCGAGTACTTCTGGATTCCACGCTAAAATTTCATGAAACTGATCAGTTCCATCTGAAGCAAGGCATGGATGTTTGCCATTGACAATTTCCACTAAACTGATGCCTAAGGCCCACATATCAGCTTGAATGGTGCTCGGCTTAGATGGTGTCCGCACAAGTTCAGGCGAAAAATAGGCAATAGTGCCCATAGCACCGCTCTGAACCGAATTTATTTCATTTATTTTGTAACAGGTGCCAAAATCACTGAGTTTAACCATACCATGCTTACTGATGAGCATATTCTCTGGCTTCACATCACGATGGAGATAGTTTTTCTGTGCCAAGAAATCAAGTGCCGACCCAATCTATGTAACATAATGCATTAAATCATAAATTAATAAAAATAATTCTTACATTATGAATTATACGACTGAGAAAACGGTCACGACTGGTAAGATCAATGTCTTCCACAAGATGCATCGTTTCATAGAATTTCTTCACTGTTGTATCCATCAATTCCATACAAATACACAATTCACTATTATCCTTCAAAAAGAACATTATAATATAAAAGCAAGGTGAATCTTTACTCACTGTATCAATTATTGCACCATAGTAGTCAATGATATATGGACAGATACCAGAGCCAAATTCTTGCATTATTTTTAGTTCAGTAAGTCGTATAGAGGCTCGTTCTTCTTTTGTTTCACGGAGAATGCGCTACAAAATATATTGAGATTTCTAATGGGAATTCTCCTACTTAAAAAATCTACGAATTTTTCAAATTAAAATTGTATTTTCTTTTTCTCGAAACTGCTTATTAGTCAAAAACCTTTCGAAATAGAATGAAATAATTTTAATCATCTGTACAGAATAGAATCAGCATTCAATGTCAAATGGAGAGTTGAGAATATTTGTCAGTGTAAGATACATACTTTGACTGCCATACGAACATCAGAATGTTCCTGAATCTTGACGCTATCCACCGAACCAAAGTATCCTTTACCGAGGTGTTGAATATTATGAAAATCTTTGACGTTGACTTGAATTTTCTGCTTGTTATAGATGAGCTCGGCTGACTCAGGAGGTGCTTCACAACTAAAAATACAATTGAAAGAAACGAATTTAGTTAATAAAGTTATCTTACGTGTGTTCGCTCGACTTCTCTAGTTCGTCGAAGTTAAATAAAGTTTCGAGGTGGATTGCTAATTCTAAATAACATGCATAACATTTTAACTTCACATCAAATGATAAATGTAATAATTATTTATCCTTGAAATATTATTCTATAACATTTTACAACAGATATGGCTAAACGAATAACTCATGATTTGATGTGTTTGTATAAGATGTGATTATGAAAGCATAGGCTAAGTTGAAATTTGTAAAAGCTTGGTCCTTATTATTTCTCACTTAAACATGATATTGTGATGCCTTATTTTCTCCAAAATATCGAAATAATTGATTATTCTTTAGTTGAAAATCAATTCAAATGGAAGGATTTTGATATGATTAGAGTCTAAATTGTCTCATTGTTGAATAAATCTATTTGATATATTCAAATGGATAAACCGATAATGTATGATAAGTCATTTTTTTTGAATAAAAATAGTTCTACAACATAAGTCAGTAATGTTTAGAAGATTCTTACTTTTTTTTTCAGTCTTGAATTTGCTTGATGATCTGTTTGATCGTATCTGAACGTCAGGGGCAACTGGTTGAGTTGTACCAAAAATGTTGGAAATATCTTGGACTACTGAACAAGACATAAAAAAGATATGTACATTCTAATGTTTATGAAAGATTCTTTATTTTAAACTCACCAGTTTCCACATGTTGTATTATGTGAAGATCATTTAACGATGATGTCACATTAAGAGTGGCAAACTGTGCGTATCCATTTCCAACATTATCGATCGATGAATTTCCAAAAGGTACGTCATCAGCTAAAATCAATAATATAAACAAAAACGTATTTCTTACAGTTTGTTCAAAACTTACATAGAAAGGCCGCTTGTAAATCCCGTTGTTCTTCGATTGACGTAATATTTTGATTGGATTGATCAATATCTTGATCTTCAACGCAATTTGTTATATCTTCATCGGCGGAAGACTGCCTATCTTCGAGATATTCCATATTATTCATTGTGCGCACGTAGCGTATAAATCTGAAAATGAAATCTTTCGTTAAGTATCAAAGTATTACCCCATCGAAAATTTAATAGCCCTAGCATTGATTTCATTCAGGCAGATGTAAATCATGTAAAAATAAAAGGAAATAATCGTTGATTATCAACGATTATTTTTTCATCGGATCATCACAAAGTGATGATATTAACATACAGCAAATCTAGTTAATTTTGATATGTAACCTGCAAAAGTCTACAATCCGTAGTTTCTCTGTAGAGGGATGTCCCGAGTTGTGAGGAGTGAAGAAAGAGGAGCTCGATGAATGGTGTGGGTTAAGCGAATTTCAAGAACGACATCCATATCATAGGCCTACACCCTCACATTCACATCTATGACATGAGTTGGCTAGATTTAAAATATAATTTGTACGAACTAGGGTGAAGAGAAGTGTTTCTTGAAAATTTAATACTGCTCATCAATAAAATTATTTTTATTCACATTGTAAATTGTACCCCACTTTCCCTTGAAGAAAAAACATCGATGAATAATTTACTTCTGACTTAGGAAAACGATATCGAATAATATGTTGTGGACAGATTGCAAAAATGACCTACTAGCTCAAATACACAGTTAGATACTTTATCAAAACGGTAGCGAAGTTATGTTCTTTTCTTCCCAACAACCAACGGAACAAAATACGTAAGGAATAAGGGAAAATCATGATAACTGAATTACGTAGGAGTCTTTTGAGAAACAAAAAAACCAAACATCAAATGTAAGTAAAAGTTGTATAAGTACACTTCGTTAGAAAGAAAGACGCCTTTAAATAGTGAAAACATATTGGTTTTGTCCATGTATGTTGTCGCTCTGCAGAAAGACGCAAATTTGTTTTCGAATGAATCATCTATTGCATTCGTCGCACCTTTAGAAAAACGACGCATAGTGCGTCGCCGAAATCAGCATGTTACGTTTTTTTCCGACAAAACGAGAGCATGTGCATGTATTTATTATGTTATTTTATTTATTTTTCTTCTCGACTTTTCTTTTTTCTATACCTTTACCTTTTTTGACGACTATTTCGATATCTTCGTTCGCAGCTGTTTTTCGTGACTCAACATGAGTGAAAGAGAACATATTGACATTATTTTTTCATCGAATGTTGTTATACAGATGAGTAAAAGCATTGATTTCTAAACCTCAAATTCGATAGAGAGGATGTAAATATATGTAGTTTTCGGCAGATGTGCTAATCCTTCCTTCACTCTAACGTCCACACTCAAAAGAACTTTATAAAGTTTGTTTCTATTCAAGTCCATGAAATACAGAAAGTTGAATATAGACTTTTAACTATTATTGTTACTATTCGATAGCATTGAAAAACTTTCATGGAAAATATTCATAAAAACTGTTTACTTGTTTCAAACAGAACAGCAGAGAATAAAAACGTATTCTTAGATTTTTAGTTATTATTATACTTTCATCCAACGGATGTCTCTTCCTGAGCGAACAACGAGTTGTTTTAATTGTGGAAGACTGAATTTAGACATTCTTCTGCGACGTATGGATTTTACCGTTAGTGAGATAAGATTTATAATGAATAGATAACGAAATAAAAATGCAGACATATTATATTTTTTCCTACTTGTAATATGGATAATGATTTGAATCAAGGAAAGCTTTTAATATGAAAATAAAATTGAGAAACACTATGAAACTTTTCATAAACGTATGTGATCATCATATCTGAAAATCTTAATAATTTCCATTTTTTTTTTGCGTCACAATTTTGAAAAGCAATGTCAAGTTAAATTTTGCCTATTGATGAAAAATGAAAAAAGCAGATGAATATCTTATTTAGTATTTTGTGTTGAAAATACAAATCCTCAATGATTATGTTGTAGTCGAAATTAAAACTCAGTCAAATCAAAAATTTACTTAGTCCAATTTGAAGTTTTTATTATGAAAGAGAGTACATCAGACAACATTGAAATCTCAATTTTCAACACAACAGTTATATAAACTTTTTTTTTCTTTCAGTTTTTATAAGGGAAAAAAACCACTGATTCGTTATATTCATGATAATTTTCAAGGTTAAAAGTAAATAATGAATAATATCGAAATGTTTGATTGCATCATGCAAATATTGGGCTTTCACCATAAATGTGACTTGTTATTATTCAGAATTAGTCATCAAAAACAAAAATGGTAAGACGTCACAAAACAAAGTGTTTTTTTTTGTTCTTTTCTTGTGAAGATAAAGAGAATGGGTTTCTTTTTAAATATATATTATTCTTTCTCCTACTGTTAATAAAATACAATCTGGATGAAAATTCTCAAGGATGCGAAATAGAATGATGCTTTTTTTTTCGAAATAACAAACTGTAACGAAGAATTGTATACAATGTGAATTTTTCATATATAAGACAATTGGTTTTGTATTTAATCAAATTTAATAGAACGTTTTACTCTTCATCTATTCAATATATTAATAGAAATCTTTAAAATGTTGACTTACAATTGTTACCTTTAAGCAGTGTTCGAATCAACCAATCGGAAAACAAAATGGTTTCAGTTCTCAAGAATGAAAAAGTTGATGAAGAATAAATATCAGATAATCACCAAGTTACAATAAATACCAAAAAATAAGTCAATTGAAAATATCTAGTTCGACAGGAAAATGTATGGTCTATTATGTTCTGTAAAAAAAGAATTCATAACTCTGGTAGATAGTATTTATTAAAAAAACACTTAACTATGAGTTGATCCGAAAAGGCTAATTGAAAGAGTCTTTTTAGCTGATTTTTTTTGCATTTTTCTGAAGTTTTTAGACAAATGTAATTAGTCTGGATGTATAATGAATATCTGTATTTTAGATGCAAACAATTCTTAATTTTGCATCGCAAACAAAAGTATATTATCACAATCATGGTCGATGTATTATAAGTACAAGAAAATGTAGCTTGTAAATGAATGCATGAATCAAATACCTAGAGAAAAATTCATAACTATTGATTTTTCAGAGTAAAGAACGTTGTAAATGCATACATTTCCATCTATTCTATTAAACATGTCAATGCGATGTATTAATTTTATCAATTTTTTTAGATGACAGATAATTTTTGACCAAAATTATTTTATCAAAGAAGGGAAATAGAAATTAAAATGTTTTTGGATAGACAAGTTGTTCATTAAATATTAGTTTTTTTTTTAGTTGACCACAATTGTGTCGTATTGCATCATTTGTAAAGATGTTCGTAACAGTAATTATATTTTCATACTTTACGACAAATTTTTGTAGACATAAAATATATGTGATTGTATGACGTTGGAATGAATCAGCATAATCAATGCATACATAACCAAGTGCGAGTCAAATTAGATGTAAATATGAAATTTTTGAAGAGATTTGTTTGCTATTAACTGATTCACTTGATATTTATTTTTTTGTAATGTGAAATTGTGTACAAAGAAATATTTGAGTAATGGAACAGCTTAAGAGAGGATCCGCGAGAGGACCGAGGAATCGAGGCACTGCATAAAATTTAGATTTTTGATTCGAGGTTCTCATCTTGTTCAGCATCATTGAAAACCACCAAATCCAAATTTTTAGATCATTTGGATGTACTATAGAAAAATTAGACTGATT